AAAAAGCCAAAAAAATTGTATTTATTGTATTTAATGCAGGATTGTTAAAATCTGACTTTGATTCATTCCTAGTGATTGACCTTGGTAGACACACCTCTACACATGTGGTATTAATAGAGTAAAAACAGTATTGTATGTTGTAATAATAATCTTTATTGTTGTCATATCCTCTATGGGACTTTGATTATAAATTACAATAAAGTATAGCAATGAAAAAAATTAAATGAAATTAAAAAGAGTAGAAAACAAAGTTATTAATAAAATATAATAAATTAAAGTAAATGTATTATTGATTTTGAGGCAGCTGGTAGTACTTTTTTCAAGCTGTTCTCTCAGATTTTAAAACAATCATGTTTGTACTTAGCAATTTGAGGAATCAATTTTATAATACCATTGTTTAGTATTGCAACTATTTTTTATTTTTCAGAAAGTTTTTGAGAAGCTCATTTCTTTCTTTTTTATAAAGACCGCTTTTAAGAAGGAAGTGCTCTTCATTTTCTATTTCGTTGTATGTGTTCAGTTATGGTGCTGTTGGTGGAGGGGGGTGTCATTATTGTTTAACTAGATCATTACATTATGAGGTACATGTACTGTTGCCATGGACACCTCTGCACATTGCTACTAATCAATATCGTGTTATAATAATATGACACAAATACTTTCTATTTATAGCTTTACTGAGTGTGTCTGACAAGACAGGATTGGTGTCGTTTGCTGAGAAGCTGCACAACCTGGGACTAAAGTTGATTGGATCCGGTGGTACAGCAAAAGCCATCAGAGATGCTGGTATTCCAATCAGATGATGTCTTATTTTTTGACAAAATAATATCTTGTCACATTCTATAAATACTGACATGCATTATAAATTGAGACTTTAGGGAATTTAGTTTTAACTTTCACAATCAACAGAACAAAAATTGTAATGAGAATCTCCTTAAAGAATGTTTACAGCAGACACAAGATATTTAAATACTCCCGCACCTGGTAGGCAATTACTGAGGGACTTTGCAACATCCCCAGACACTTTCCTAGACACTCCAATTACCGTTGTAGACGCAATAAAGTTACATAATGTACCCGCTCAATAATAATAATTTTTCATTTTATTTCTTGTTTTTGTATTATAGCGATGTGTCTGATGTAACTGGTGCACCTGAAATGTTGGGAGGTAGAGTTAAGACGTTACATCCAGCTGTACATGGAGGTATGACAGTAAATGATAATTTCATTAGATTTTGTGATAACGGAAAACAGCAGCTGTTGTTGTGATGTCTGTGTGTTGTACTCAAATGTCAGGTGATTATGGGGTAAACCACATCACCAATATTAAATATGTTATGTCACATTAGAACACTTTCCTGTGTTTACATTGGACACAGAAATGTATACATGTAACTCGTAAATAAATCCATAATCCTATCACTGATCACAAATGTTCACACAGAGAAAAACAATTTTCATCAGCATTTTTTGCTATCATCTTTTAGTAAATTACATTTATTAGTACAAACAGAAAAATCATTCCGCAAAGTTTGGACTGGAGCAGTACTGACTCGCAACGATCTCTGCTGTGTGTTGGTCGATAAACGTGCTTTGTTGTATTCAAATAACCTCATTAATATTCATAGTTAAAATTTTGATGGCATAACATATGTAGGAATCAGAGAACACTATTGGCTTTAGTTAACATGTAATGTAATATTTCTCATAATTTATGTTCTGTTCTTAGATTATCATGTGTTATGTTTCTTGCAGGCATTTTGGCACGTAATTCAGAAAGCGACCGTGCTGACATGGAAAAACAAGATTTTAAATACATCAAGTAAGTTATGACAGAATGCCAAACGCTTATAAAAAATGCATCTCATTGGTCATTCAATCCTTCATACTACCAGCTAACCAATTACAGAACACCTTTCTATTTGCTCTCATTGGTCATTCAATCTTCATACTACCAGCTAACCAATTACAGAACACCTTTGTATTTGCTCTCATTGGTCATTCAATCCTTCATACTACCAGCTAACCAACTACAGAACACCTTTCTATTTGCTCTCATTGGTCATTCAATCCTTCATACTTACCAGCTAACCAATTACAGAACACCTTTCTATTTGCTCTCATTCACAATTTGATTTGAGCGTTGACTGTTAAATATTATAAATATCTATTTGTCTCATTACCATTATGCTGTTTACCTGTAGGTTGGTTGCTTGTAATTTGTATCCATTTGTAAACACTGTATCAAAAGAAGGTGTGACTGTAGCGGAAGCTGTGGAACAAATTGATATTGGTAAGTAAAGAAGTGATGGCAGTTTAGCTAATATGACTCAGTATACGACGCAATGTAAATGTATATAAATATGGGTATATAAATGGCATGTGTGGGTATACCTCACATGGGTGGGTATACTAGGCAATGTGAATGTATATAAATCAGTGTTCTCCCCAGGCCTTTTAAGCACTGCGGGCCCGCGTCGCTTAGACAAACAGCCGCGTCGCTTTTGTTTTGCCCGCGATCCTTGAAATCCTGCCCGCGATGCTTATTCACGTTGTATTGTTTACAAGTGTCAGCCTCGTCTAGCACACCTTTAAAACAATAACATGTATTGATCGAAAGGTAATCTCGCCTTTGTACATAGTTAGCCTTACAAAAACAGTGATAAAATTGGAAGTCTACAAGAAGTTACCAACTCTATCAAGGGTGCGGAGCAGGCAAACCCAAAATACTAGGGTAGTAATAATTTGCCCATTGCGTCGGGATGGTCTATCCCGA